AGGGGGGGCGGGGCCATATAGAACAGGGGTCAATGGGGCTTGGGGCAAGTGGAGGGTCAAGCCAGGCAGAGCAGGAATTGGGTGGGCTGGGGGGGGGCAGGCGGGGGTGTCCCCCATGGTCCCCTCCCCCCTCCTCCAGCCCTACCCCGACCCCTTACTTATGGCACTGGAGCACTGGTGCTGCGCTGTCTGGCAGGCCTCGTGTTTAGCACCAGGGAAAGGGGCCAACCATAGAGGTGCTCTGGCAGCTAGAACGTCTCTGTGGAGGACCCAGCCTCCGGTTGCCCCGCTTTTTTAAACTTTGGATTTTTTTAGACCCCTGGATATCCAGGGGTCTAATTTTCTCTCTGTGCTGCAAGTTCGCAGTGTGGGGAACATTTTTTCATTCCCGCATGTGCCTTTTGCCCCGTCTCAAAAGGGTTTGAGACGGGGCAAGAGGCATGTGCATGCTCGTCCGGATGCACCTCTTGGGTCCAGGGGTGGGGCACACATGCCCCTTTATATACATATATGTATTATATAGTCTATATGTATACATGTATGAGAGAGCACAAGCTCTGTGGCCTGAAGCTCACTTCATCAGTTGCTGTGAAAGGCCATGCAGAAAACAAGAGCGGAAGAAGAAGAGAAAAATGAGAATACACCCCTGCAAACATGCAACACACATTTGCATTTTTTTTGCAACAGCATTGCATTGTTGACTAATACTGAGTTTGTCATCCACTGTAAGCACCCCTCTCTTCCTTAGCTATGTTAGAGCCAAACCCATCATGTGCCATTTCATGTTTGTGCATTTCTTTTTATTTCTTTGTTTGTAGCACTTTATATTTGTCTTTGTTAAATGTAATCTTGGTGACTACGATCCAGTCCTCCAATTTATAAAGACAACTTTGGATTTCAATCCTGTCCCCTAAAGTTTTGATATGCTCACCCACCTTAGTGGCATCTACAGGTCTGACCACCAGGGATCCTGGTTTACTTGAATTAAAAAAAAAAATCCCCAATTTTCATATTTAAAAAAATAACCCAAAATCCACATTTGTCCATGATTAAAATGAAACATCACTACTATATAAACCTGCATATAGTGGTGTTTCGTTTGAATAATGGAAAAATGTGGAGTTTGAGTTACTTTTTTAATCTGAAAATTGGGGATTTTTTTTTGTTGGAGAAAACCAGGATCCCTGCTGATCACCATATTCTCTGTCCTTGTATCCATACCATGAATAGAAATGTTAAGCAGCCTTAGCCCAAAAACAGACCACAGTGAAACTCCACTTAAGACTTGCTGCCAGATCCATTATTAGGTATGTTTTCCTAGCAATAAATTTGGCTTTATGTAATTCGTTAATGTCGTTTATTTTTGACTGAAGTATCCTGGCTCTTAAGCTCTTTGTTGTAAGATATTTCCTCTCTCCTAGAATCACACTATATGTGATAGCTGTCAATTCCTCTCCTTTATGTGACAGAAACGGAAATTAGCTGTAGGTTGTCCACTCCACTTGCCTGCTGGTGCAAGCAAATGCATACCAAATGAAAGTTTAAATTCTAGAGAGAGTTTTTGGAAAACTACTATTTAATTTGTTTACTATTTTTGCAATAATTTTATCTCTAGATTAGTGCTAATGTTACTTTTCTTTTCTCTTTGGTACTTTGCAGGTAGTTATTCGCCGGCTTCCTCCTTGCCTAACTAAAGAGCAGCTGGAGGAGCAGCTGCATCCTCTACCTGCCCATGATTATTTTGAATTTTGCACTGCTGATCCCAGGTGAGGAGACGTTGTTTCTTAGTGTTAAGAAGAAAAGAGGTTTTTCTGTGCTTTTGCAAGCAACCTGTCTAAGGTACCTTGGGCATAGTCGCATACAAAATTGCATCTTTTGTCCCCAGAACCTCTATCTTTTTGTTTTGTTGGTTACCTAGATTTTGCTTTTTTTTATGCAGGGAACTTTAAGACAGAAAATTATCATCTTGTTGCTGAAAATACTCAAGTTCTGTTCCAGTTTTCACTGGTGAAGTAGAAGAGAGCTTTTCCTCAATTTATATTATGCCTTCCTAATGCTGAAAAGAGCAGAGCTGGCCAAATGTTCATTTGAATTTAAATGAACTCCTTAATTGCTTCCACATTTACATTAGCTTTTTATAGACTTTCAAAAATATAGTTTTATTCTCATGAATATTTTAAAAAGCAAACGTTAAAGATACACAACTGGTCAGTCAAGGGTAGAGCTTTTATTTCTTTCAGTATATTTTGTAATTATTTCATTGGCAATTTAAGAATAATGAAACAAAGGAAGTTTACTAACTATTTGTAGTGGGCGGTATCAACCAAGTTAAGAAAACTTTCTAACAAAACAAGTTTCAGAAAGGGAGGAAATAGAACAATTAAAGTAACTGAAACACTTTTAACATTGTCATATTGCATCTGTTTGGATGTTGAAGTCACAAAGTATGTATCATAGGGATATGTATGCTTAACTATATGCTGAATTATCTCTCTAGCCAACCCATGTATGTACCTCTGGTCACAATTCTGGAATGGTTTATTAGAGCCTGTGACTCCTAAAGCTTGAACCTTTCAGAAATATAATCACCAAGCACATTCAAAGAGATGGGGGGGGGGGGGGGGGGCCATGCCAACAGCCAAATTTGGCTTGTCATATGCATAACATCAGAAGCTTTGGTACCAGCAATACGTTACCAGTGAAAAATTAGGCAGAGAGCGAGTTTAGGCACCTGCAGCGCTAGGATGGGTTTTTTGAGCATGTGTTAGCATCTGTATGTTGTACTTC